GTCTTTCTAGATTTTGGGAGCCTCGCAATTGTGGTTTGTTTAATCTTCTCAATCAGACAAGCCATAACTGGTTACTTTATAATACTCATGGTTGGAGTAGCTCCTACCTACCTGTTCGACAGTACTCATCTGCTTCTTGGGGTACCATGTCTTTAACCCGACTGCCGTAGATCATTCTGGAATCCTGGTCATAGGCTTTCAGGGTCTCGCTGGAACTGTACGATTTCTGCGGGATTTTGCTGTCCTCGCTCTCCGCGGAGGAGCTGGTATAGCGCCGTTCAGCATCGCAACGTTTGGTCAAAGAACGGTATGGCTTTCGGTCTTTCACATCCATGGCCCTCGGATGGGTCTCTTCCGCATCAACAAAACGGGGCGATCTGATCTAATTGTCCTAGAAAAGAGAAGTTGCGGGTTAAATTGGTGTGGTAGAAACCATAATGGAACTAAGAAGATTCATTACATCCGTGTAGGACCATTGATCCACCTGGTTCCTTATAACGTTCTTTCCAGCCAAGACCCAGTTTGGTCCAGTGGTTAAGACACCAGGCTAGGAAGCAGGAGGGCATGAGTTCTAGTCTTGCCTTAGACATATAAACCAGCTGGGTGACTTTGAACCAACCACCAGAAGACGATGAGTTCTAGTCTTGCCTTAGGCATGAAATCTGGCTTTGGGCCAATCAGAAGGAGACTGTGACTTCTACTCCTGCTGACTGGGTGGCTTTGGGCCAATCAGCAGGAGACTGAGAGTTCTAGTTCCACCTTAGGCATGAAAGCAGACTGGGTGACTTTTGGGCCAATCAGCAGGAGATGGTGAGTTCTAGTCCCGCCTTAGGCACAAAATCTGGCTGAGTGACTTTGGGCCAATCAGCAGGTGACTGTGAGTTCTAGTCCCACCTTAGGCATGATATGTGGCTGAGTGACTTTGGGCCAATCAGCAGGTGACTGTGAGTTCTAGTCCCACCTTAGGCACAAAATCTGGCTGAGTGACTTTGGGCCAGTCAGCATGAGACTGTGAGTTCTACTCCTGCCTTAGGCACGAAAGCTGACTGGGTGACTTTGGGCCCATCACCAGGAGACAGAGAGTTCTAGTCCTGCCTTAGGCATGAAAAGCAAGCTGAGTGACTTTGGGCTAGTCCTTCTCTTTCAGCCCAAACCACCTCACAAGGTGGTTTTTGTGGGGAAAATAGGAGCAGGAAGGTGCACTGAAATATGCTCGCCATCTTGAATTGTTTGTGAAAACAATAAAGGTGGGATACAAAGAAATAAACAAACTGACAGAAGCTCTCCTGGTTTCCAAAAGAATGCAGATATCCTCCCTGATATGCTCAAGAACTCTGTACATGCAATAGAACCAGCGATCATCTGAATGCAGAGAAAGTGGCCAACCCAAAAGCTATAAATGGTGAGCCTCACGCTCCTTTCTCTGCGTTATCAAGCACCCGTGAAAAACGGCGCCATAAATCCATCTGATGGACAGGAGGAATCCTGATTTAGATCGTTAAATCAAATCAATTATTTATTCCTGCAGTCGAAGACCAGCATACACACAAACTAAAACAACAATAGGATAAAATCAATGCAGATTGTTATAGAAGCATCAGTACTAAAAATGAACAGCGCAGAACAGTCCGACACAGTGAAAGTATAAAACTATTAAAACAAACTACAGTGAGAACATAAAATGCTAAGTCAAAATATTATCCCTAAGTCTCGGGGAGGGGGATATCTAAATTACAGGTAGTCCTCAATTTACGACCACAATGGAGCCCAACATTTCTGTTCCTAAGTGATTCAGTAGTTGAGTTTTTTGCCCCATTTTACAACCTATCTTGCCACGTTAAGTGAAATCACTGCAGTTAAGTTGGTAACATGGTTGTTAAGTGAATCTGGTTTCCCTGACTTTGCTTGTCAGAAGGTCGCAAAAGGGGCTCACGTGACTCCGGGGACACTGCAACCGTCATAAGTACATGCCAGTTGCCAGGCCTCTGAATTTTGATCACGTGACCGTGGGGATGCTGCAATGGGTTGTAAGTGTGAAAAGACAGTCATAAGTCGCCATTTTCTGTGCTGTCGTATCTTTTGCCAGAGTATATTCATGAACTGGAATAGAGCTTAGTAACAAGGTCAGCCAATGAACAGGCAAAGCAACTAAGTCAGCCAGTGAGGACTGTTTGGAAACTGAAACTAGAAGTAGCCTAGGCGTGGCTCTATATTAAGCTCTGAAGCTCTGAAGCTATGTTGAGCTCTGAATCTGTCTGTTGAGAATGAAACTGCTTCTGTCCTCTGCTGTGTCTAATGCTTGCCTGCTGAACTAAAGTGAAACTGAGGCCTGTTTCTGAGCTCCTGAGTTGCTGTTCTGCTCTGAACCTGAAACATGTCTGCTTCAGTTTGAGTTTGTTCCATGTTGGAGAAATCTACACCTGGTATTGTAAAATTTACTCTATATGTTTATAAAGAAGTTAAATGAAGCCTCAGCCATGTGTGTTTACATTTTCTGGCGCTGAAGTTATGCTGCAATACTCTGAACAAAGCATTAAGTGACCTTCAGTAACTGGAGATGTTTATTTTTTCTGGCGCTGAATTTAAGCTGCAATACTCTGAACATCTTTGACCGGTCACTAAACAAATGATTTTAAGTCCAGGACTGCCTGTACTAAGCATGAAAATATATTTAATTTAGAAACAGAGAAAATAGACATTAACATTTAGAGCAGTGTTTCTCAAATCTGGCAATTTTAACGTGTGTGGACTTCAATGCCCAGAATGCAGTCCATACATATTAAAGTTGCCAAGTTTGCGAAACATTGATTTTACACTTTAAAAAATCAGAGTTAAAAGGTTTTTGGGCCAGGAATAGCAATTTTGGATTACAGCGCTTAAAATGTTTATAAGCCTGGGCCTAGAAACGCCGTCTAAGCTCAGCAAGAGGGTCATGCATGAAGAAAGAAACTTTTAAAGCTCTCCTCTAAAAAGGAGCAGGGAAAAATTGCAAAACCAAACCTCAGAACCTCATAAACTCTTTGCTTAAGATTGTCGGAGTGTGACCGATTGATAAATTATTTATCTAACTGTATTTGCAATGCGTCTCCGTTCTACCGCTTGCTGTAGATCAGCTTTTATCAAGCCTTAACTTTTTAAAATGTGAGCCTTTAAATTTAATAAAAGAAATACATCAATGTAAGCACCGCAAACAACAACAACAACCCCAGCTGTCATTACATCAGGAAGACAAACAATGACAATCACTGAACCAAATAAATTAGAATAGAAACTACGGTAACCAAGATAGATGCTTAGTCAAATTACCTCATGAAAAATGCTCATAAAAATAATAAAGAGTTTTTAATGAAATGCTTAGGTCAATGCTACTGCAGGTAGTTCTTGACATAGGACCATGATTGTGACTGGATTTTTTGTGAAAAGTCTTCTGGTCATAAGTTGAGCACCACACGAACAGAATCTGATTATCCAACTATGTTTATGGTGGTTGTTAAGCAAACTGCTTAAAGAAAGCAAATGGAAGTGAAGCATATTATATTGATCATATCTAGTTTGATGAAAACAAGGATTAGGGTTGACATGATAGCAGTTTCCCAATATTTCAGGGGCTGACACAAAGGGGAGAAGGAGTCAAGCTATTCTCCAAAGCACCTGAGGGCAGGACAAGAAGCAACGGATGGAAACTAATCAAGGAGAGAAGCAACTTAAAACTAAGGAGAAATTTCCTGAAAGTGACAACAATTAACCAGTGGGACAACTTGCCTCCAGAAGTTGTAAATGCTCCAACACTGGAAGTTTTTAAGAAAAGATTGAATGACCATTTGTCTGAAGTGGGTTTCCTGCCTAAGCAGGGGTTAGACTAGAAGACCTCCAAGGTCCCTTCTAATTCTGTTCTGTACTATTCTGTTCTATTCTATTCTGTTCTGTTCTGTTCTATTCTTATTCTATTCTATTCTATTCCTATCCTATCCTATTCTATTCCTATTAATCTTCTCATCACTCCTTATCACCCATCTCCTCCCACTTGTGACTGTATGACTCTAACCTTGTCGCTTCCCTCCTTACGATCTATCTTGACTGTTTCCTAGTATGATTGGATTGCTTATTATACCCTATGACTATCATTAAGTGTTGCACCTGATGATTCTTGACTCTTGACGGATGTATCTTTTATACATCGGCACCAAGAGAGCATCTGCACCAAAATAAATTCCTTGTTGTGTCCAATCACACTTGGCCAATAAAAGAATTCTAATTCTAATTCTAATTCTAATTCTAGTTCTAATTCTAATTCTATATTCTATTCTATTCTATTCTATTCTACACTACTCTACTCTTTTATTTATTTGTTTATATTTATTTATTTTGTCAATATTGTAAGAAAACTAAAAAGAAACAATAGCACAGCGATGGTAGGCATGTCGGTGCGCTTATGCACGCCCCCTACAGGCCTCTTAGGGAAGGGGTGAGGTCAATAGGAGACACTACTCTACTCTACTTTATTCCCAATTCCCATCCTATTCTATTTTATTCTATGAATCCACTTCCCTGAATGGGTGGGTTTCTAAAAACCCAACAAACAAATATTGAAATTGACGGGGGGCAGGGTTGGGGAATGCCAGAAACCAGCCAAAAAATGTCACAAATTGCAATTATACGACTGTGTGCTTGCTGGTCCTAAATGAAAGTGGATTGCCCAACAACCTAATTGCGATCACGTGACCTTGGGATGGAGGAGTGACATTCTGCAAAGTACCTTCTCTGAGGCCCCTGTAGTTCTGGACCGTTGTTCAATGAATGGTCGTATATCGAGGATTACCTGTCATCCACGGCCAAGAAGCTGGGGATAACTACAGAAAGATCTCTCATCTTATAACGATAGGTCTGTTGCTACATGATCCAAGATAACATGGGCTCGCTAAATAAAACATCAACTTTCTGAGTTCAAACGGATCCCGTCCAATTAAATGTACATTTAACTGAGTAATCTTCAGCGAACATTTGCAGCCTTAATACTTTAATGTTCATGTTTCCCATATTAATCTAACTCATGCAAATGGCATTTGGTTTGGTCATGATCGTAATTAGGATGGAAGTATTATTTCTATTTATAAAGACTGGAACATATGCTGCTTTTTAGCGCACGGTGTGGGTTTTTTTTTTTTTCTTCCTCTCCTGGCTTTTGACCTATTAACAAAACTGAACAGAAATTCTTCCTCTGGTTGCCGGTGTCCTCCAGTTTGAGACTTTATATATGAAGGAAGCTTCTCTTGTGTCAGAATCTATTGCAATTACTCCTTGACTTATGACCCGTTATATTTAACGGAGCGTTCA